CAAACTGACGATGCGACTTATGCAGCAGGTTCCCCAGGCGTCGAATGTGACAAATACATGCTTTCGCAAGTCTACGTGGGATGTCACGGAAGCCTCGACTAATAGCTTGCATCGGAACTCCTGCCAGATGAGCTCAGCAAGGGTGTCCAGCGCGGCACCTCGCGCACTGGACTTGGGCCCCTGGCCCATTGCATTGAGCGCTAGGATTCTCACCCAGAGGCAGCGACAGAGGAGGCGAGGAAGGGGTATGATGTGTGCGCTCCAAAAATGCGGGGGCCCAGCGCACTTAAGATCTTCGCGCGTGCCGAAAATGAAATCACGATTTGCGGTGCACGTCCTAGAATTTATCGCCGCCTGGGGTCATCTCGCGCTGCAGATATGGCGCTGGTAGGTTCGCTCCGTCGCACGATTCCAACGTCGCGTGGGAACGGCAGACGTGAACCTGTGAACATGCAACCGCAATGCACAACTCTAGAAACACAAATCGAATCGCCCACGCATGACACGCCGCGTACAACCTCTCCCGCGCGTAGTCCTGGCATGAAGCGACTCGTTGTGCAACGTGGGGCTCTCGACAGAGATCAGCGGTGCATCGTCCCAGGCCCGCAAGCGTAGCTGGCTCGGATAAGGGTCCGCCCATGGGCCAAACTCTTCCTTCGCTTGAAAAACGGAGCTGCCAACCTGGACGAACTGATCGGCTGCCGCACATCGTGAAGCTTGCTTGAAGCCCGTGCATGCGACCAGCTCGTGGCCTGGGGGTCGCTGGCGTCCTAGGGCGTAAAACTTACTTTCGGCCTTGCGGCCGCATTTGACCCCCGCGCCGGTTGCTCCCGCGGCGGACGTGCCTCTGGCCGAAAGCTCGCGTGCACGACTGCAACCCCTGAGTGCCGACGCGTCCTTGAAGAACTGCGAGGCGCCTGCCTTGACGAACGGAGGAGGAGGAGGAGCAGGAGGAGGAGGAGGAGGAGGAGGAGGAGGGGTTGTCCCTTTCCGCCTGGGCGTGCACGTGCACGTTTGTCCAACGTGTCCAACTCGTTGGCTCGACTCCGCAACGCGGCAGGCAGAAATCATCCGCGCTGTCTGCCTGGGGTCGCCCGGCCTCGCCCGGCGATCCGGAGGGCCCCTTTGCAGCGCGTGGCCGGAACCGTTTTCTTGAGCAGCTCGTGCAGTGCCAGTGCGTTCGCGCTCGCTGGCGTGCTCTCTTGGCGCTCGTGGGCCCTCCCGTGGCTGATGGCGCGCATGTGCCTTTGATGGGGAGATGCGCGCGCGGGAGGTCGCGACCGCTGGCAGTGCCTTCGTTGCGCCAGGCATCGGGCACCACGTGGCCGTCGCGAACACGTTGCAGCTCAATGGTCTCCTGGGAGGCGCAACAGGGGAGAGACCCACAGTGCTCCTGGTCTGACAGAGAGCAGCGCCCCAGGCGCCATACATACGTTTGAAGTGGGATCCCCGCACGACGGCGGGGATCCTTACCAACCCCAGTCCGTGCGCGCTGGCACATTCTGCCGAGGTACTAGTTGCGGGCAAGCTCCGAGGGTGGCCGAACCAGGGTCGGAGGGATCTCCAACGGGACAAAACACCTGATGCTACGAGTATGGGGCGTTTCTTCGTCAGGGCGATGATGTGTAAACTGCCCTGTGGCAATGCTGTCTCAGGTCTGCGGCCGAATCTCACGCCGCAGCTGCTCAGTGCAGAGCGGTTCAGGGACGCGCCAACATTTGTTGCCCCACAGGACTTCGCATGCGAGGCATGCGCTGGCATTGTCATGGCGAATCTGGTTATGCAACTCAGCGCGACGCGTGGCTGAACCCTGATGTCATTGCGTGATCGCGTCGCTATGCATCTTGCGACGCATGCCCGCGATATGGGTCATCGAACCTAAGTGTGTGAACAACTGTTGACTTAGTGCATTCTCTTTGAGCGTGCATCCGCTGACCTGCCTGGGGTGGCGTGCGATAACTCTTTTCGCTCTGCAGGGTACTCTGGGGTCACGCGTTGAAACTCAGGAAACAAAAGCGCCGCTTCGGCATGATATTGCCAGAGTGCATGAACCTCTCAATCTTAGATCTGGCGATGTCACGCTGCGCGTGGTATAGCATGTGGCACAAGTTCCGCGCGTGCAACAAGTGCGCCATGATATATCCGTACTTCGACGTTCGATCGTAATCCAACCTCGTACCGCGATCTCCCAGGAATGCTTGCAGCCAGGCTGCATGCCCACTAACATACATGAAGGACCGGACCAGCCTGCACATGCGTGGAGGCACCGCGCGCACCCAGCGAGGAGGATCGGGGAGGTGGCATGGCGTTGCTGCATTCTACAACGCATGTGACGATCAGCCCTGATGCGATGAATGAGGTTGAGCTGGGACTCCTGCTCCAGAGATGAGAAGGAACGAAAACGAGGAAATGGTCGAGCACGCTTCGGCTTCGGACCTTGCTGCGCAGAAGCGGTGGGCTGAGTCGGGTGGCTGGGTACTTCGATCGGGAACAGCTCACA